CTTGGCTCAGTCTGGGAGGAAGGGATTGGACCTCCCTGGACTGAGTCTACCAGGTTGATTGCAGTCCTCGGGGGAGGACTTGTCCTGGAGGAGGTGGGAATGGAGGGTAGGCTGGGGGTAAGGGGAGGGGGGTGGGAGGGGGGAAAATAGGGGAACCCATGGCTGATATGTAGAACTGAATGGTATTAAAATATATATATATATAAAAAATTAAAAAAAATTAAAAAAAATGGGCATCAATATAGAGACACGATGTCACACAAAGTTAACGCTACAATCAATTCCAAAAGTCTTAGGATGTATGTTACTAAGGTTCTTTTCTTTCTTTCTGCTTTTTTTCCAAGACAAAGTTTCTCTGTGTAGCCCTGGCTGTGATGGAACTCGCTCTGTGGACCAGGCTGGCCTCGAACTCACAGAGATCCGCCTGCCTCTGCCTCCCCAGTGCTGGGATTAAAGGCGTGCGCGCCACCGCCGCCCGGCTCTGAGTGCTGAAGGGGGAAAGAAAGATGACCTAAGAGATGACTCAGCAGGTCAAGTCACCTGTATCCACGCTTGACAACCTGAGCTTGATCTCAGGAACATTCATAAAAGTAAAAGAGAAGTCACACCACAAAACAAAGCTGTCCCCTGACCGCCATGCTCTAAGAGTTTAAAAAAGGGGGCTACAGCTCACTTGACTAGCATATGTGAGGTTCTGGGTTCAATCTACACACGCACGCACGCACCCAAGCACTCACAAACACGTATATTTATCCTAGTTTTTGAAGGACTTAAAGAAAAATTTTTTGAGGAAATTATACTACTCCTTTTCTTACACTGTTTCATTCACTGAAACGCCATTTCCCCTCCTCTTTCTGGTAACAACCTACAAAACTATTAAGATTTAGACCTGCTGTGAGCTACCTCCGGAGTGCTCCAACAGTGCCCACTAAGGTAGTAGTATACTTGTTGGCAATTATCACACATATTTCCTGATTCTTTAGGACAATTTGGCTTTTTACTGGAGTTTGATCTTTGAGGCCTGGAACTGTGGACATTTAGAAGATATCTAAAGAAGAAGTGTGGAGGGAACAGTGACAAGTTGGCCATCTAACTCATACTGTACCTCGACAAAGACACAAAGCAAACACTAGTCACATAAGATACCTTCTGGAGATCGCTCATCATCAAAAATAATTGACTGAAGGCAAGCCAAGTCAGGGAACTCCTTGGGATCTATTTCTGATGGTGCTTTCTTCATAAATAGGGGGATCTTGTCAAATTCCTAGATTTCAAAAGAATAAAGCACATAATTAGCATAGTCTACTGAATTAGATGCAATCCCTGGACTCAACGTCAAAGTCTTTTTCACTGATTATGATCTGCAAATCCTCATGATTGGCAGGATCTATACAGGCTCCGGTTTCTATGGTGGAAAACTGGACTTCTGAGTTCTCAACTCTCCAAGGGTGGTCGTAATCACCTTCAACTGGGTGCTCTCATGTTCATCTTTGCCCTTCTCTAAGTGACAGGGTGTTGCAGGTAAAGCAACTTTACAAGGGGGGAACCCAGCTCAGAGAACTCAGGAAAACGATCCAGTAGCAGAACCAGGTGGTGGTGGATCACAGGGCTGACTGCCAAACCCTGTAGTCTTAACTACACTGACAACTTAGACTCAAAACCCCGAAGCAGATGGCTTCTGGCACTCAGCTGGAAGCCACCCGTCCTTTGGCTGCGATCAAGGCACGAGGACCACATTCCCATCCCAGCGGAGCCCCCGGGAACGCTCACCTCCTCCCACTGGTCCTCGCGGAAGCCGCCGCGGTAAGGTTGGCTCTGGAATTTATCCAGGAATGCGTCCATGGAAGTGTCGTCCGCAGGGTCAGGCTCAGAACTCTCCATTGCACCTCGCGACCCCAGTGCTTGGATCTGATGGGCCAAGAAGCGTTCTGCTCCTTCCGGCGGCGGCGGCACGTGTGCCCTTCCCTCTGCTGTCCGGGCTGCGCGTGTCCGTGCCTCTTGGGTTCCGCTGGTCTGGGGGCGTGGCCTGACAGGGGCGTGGCCTGACAGGGAGCCTCCACCGCATCCATCCCCCGCAAAGCTTGCCTAGCCTCTGGTCTCCTGGCTTGTGGTAATAGTTATGTAAGCTATTTTTGTATCTTTTGTATCTGCCCTCCACATTCTCTTCAACCCTGATGTTTTGTCTTTTCTATAAATGTTCTCAAAAAGTGAATTCTTAGCCAAACCCGATAACATTTGTCTGTAATCCTAGCATTTAGGGGGTTTAGTAGGAGAATCACAAGTTCAAGACCAGCCTAGACTACATAGCATGAACCATTCTCAAACAAAACAAATTTTTATTGGGAGGCGGGTTTCGAGACGGGGTTTCCCTGTGTCGTTTTTGTGCCTGTTCTGGATCTCGCTCTGGAGACCAGGCTGGCCTTGAACTCAGAGATCTGCCTGGCTTTGCTTCCTGAGTGTTGGGATTAATGGCGGGCGCCACCGCCACCGGGCCAACAAAACAAAATTTTTGTGCAGGAAAATTTTAGCATACTTTTTTTCACTTAACACAAGGCTTGAGGTACCCATAGGGTTTAGCCTCCTGGATGGGTACCCAGCCTGACTCCTCACCTCACCTCACAGATAATACGACAACAGAGGTCTTCACACATGCCCCTATGGACCTGTGGGAAGATTACCCCAAGATGTATGCCTAGAGGTAGAATCCTTAGGTCGTGAATATTCATAAGCTCATTACTACTGACTAGTGACAGACTCTTCTTCAGACTAGCTGCATCAATCTGTTGCTGCAGCAGCAGTGCCCAGGGTTCCTACATCCCATGAAGAGAGAGTTTTCTAAAATTGGCATCTGCTCCTCTATCTCCCTTCTTAGCCCCCCACCTGCCTCCCCTCTGTCTCCTGGATGAAGTCTATCTCCTTTGCACAGCCTCCATGGCCTTGGGCCTGGCCCTTGCACCTCTCCTCTTGTTCTAGGTTCCATCTCACTGTGACCTTGAAGATGGTCTTTGGTCCTGTGTGCCCTGCTCTCCACCCAGAGATGCCCAAATGTGGCCACCTTTCCAAACCGCCTTGAGAAGTCTCTTCTCTGGCACCCCAGAATCCAGCTGATATACACAACCTCTGGATGCCACAGTCCCCATGTCTCCCTGCTGAGCTCAGCCTTTGCACTTTTGACCATTCAGGTATGGGGCTGTCCTGCTGTCCTGCGCACTCTAAGGTGTTTAACTGTGCCTGACACCTGGTCTCTACCTACCCGAGGTTAGTAGCATTGACACAACAAAGATGTCTTCAGATAGTTTTGCATTAGCAGTGGGCAATTATTGGGCAAAGACCCAAGGGTGAGACTCAGAGACCAGGGTCCCTGAATGTCATTGGTTGGAGTCTTTTCTTTCTTTTTCCCTTTCCACAAGGGCCACCTAAACCATTGCCCCTTCTGCTCTTATCGCTGGGGAAGGGAGCTGAGATGTCCAGGAGACCCCTGTGTGGACTTGGTCAAGCCCCTTCACCTCTCTGTGCCTTGGTGTCCCGTGGTACGACGTGAACAAAACAGTCTGCACACATCTGTAAATGTCAACTGAATCAACAAATGAAGGTCATGCTCTTTTCACAGACTCGTCAGAGTGAGGGCTACACAGGGACCCGGGGTCTCCCTCGTGAGGAAGCCATCTGAATGGAGAGGTTGACCATATGGTATTTACAGTGATCTGGCTGGGGGCTTTGGCATGTCACTGCTTCAAAGACATCTTCCAGGAGCTCAGTGCCTGCATGATCCAGGAGCGCCGCTGGTGGGAAGTGGGCAGGCTCTCACAGCTGGGGCTCCAGCGGTGCGTACTGGACGGGTCACACACCCATGAATCCCCGTGTGGCAGTGGCCAAGAGTTCCGCCAGCAACTGGCCATAATGTGGTCCTGGGCCTGGGCTGCGTAGATACAGACTGATGCTTCTGGATCGTGTCGCAAGAGCTCCAGAGCTGGGTTGGAGGGAGAGAAAGGCCACTTGTTTAGACAAGGTTCCTCCCTGGGCAAAGCTCAAAATTCATCCTTCCTTCCTAGCCTTGGCTTAGACACCCCTCTATGAAGCATCTCCCCAGCCCTTCAGATGGTCACATCTTTCAAAGCTTTGTGTGAAAATTCTGCCTCCTCTAGGGAGCCCTTCTGGAGGTCCCCAGCCTCCCTTCCTGCTCCCATCAATTCTCTCAGTTGCAAGATGAACCTGTGTCCCCTTAAACATTTAAACTATCCACCCTGTGCTAAATGGTTCGGGCTCTTGTTTTTGAGCCCCATTTGCTTAATGAAGTTACAAGCTGCCCAGGACGCTGTGCATTCTGCCTCTGGGTTGACCCCACAGTAGCTGACATTGCACTCACTGTAGCTAAAGCTTTAGCACAGCAGAACTGAACTGAGGCATCTTGCCCTGCCCCACGTCACTCTCTTTTCCTGTTACCCACCGTGATCCTGCTCATGGTCTCACCCCCTCGGCAATCTCACCAACCCAGGGCGTGACTTACTGGCTTTCACTTCACTCAGCTTCTCTTCAGTCATGATGTTCTCCATGCAGGGGACCAGGGACCCTGGATAATCCAAGAGGTGAAGGCATCCACCATGAAACCTCCCCCTCCCACTCTTGGACCTGATGGCCTCAGAGAATCTGCCTGCCCTCTTCCAGCCTCAGAGATGGCATGAAATGGGAGTTTCATATGGCCTGGGGGCAGATTCTCAACAGGAGTCCCAGGGAGGTGTTGGTCCAGTGGGCAGGATCGAACCAGGACAGCACAGGATCCTGGATATGGCCAGTGGACAGTGCCACCCTAGGCTAGGCCTTAGCTTCGTTATCTGTGACATGGAAAAGTACTGCCTCCCTGCCCAGTTTCCCCAGGGACTCTCAGCCCCTAGCCTCATACACCCGTCAGCCACAGCTGCAAGGGACCTCTGAGATGTCATTGCTCCATGTACCTAGGTCCCATGGTGCCTGGGTCCTGGTTATACCCCACCCTTCCCAGAGACCCTTCACTCATGTGTTTTCCTGGGGAGTTCCTGTTTGTCCTTGTATGTTAACTTCGGAAAGTGGCTCTCTGTAAAGTCCTTCCTGACCCTGACCCAGGCTGAGCCTGGTGCCTGCCTAGAGTCTTAGAGTCTCAGTGAGTTTCCTGTCTGCATACACCAAGTCTGTATTCACTGGGCCTGTAAACACTGGGACTATATGTCCTGGGCCTGTATACACTGAGCCTGTCTACACTGTGTCTGTATACACTGGGCCTGCATACCCTCAGCCTGTATACACTGTGCCTATATACACTGAGCCTGTATACACCGAGTCCATATACACTGGGCCTGTATACCCTGGACCTGTATACACTGAGTCTGTATATACTGGGCCTGTATACACTGGGCTTGTATACACTGAGTCTGTATACACTGGGCCTGTATACACTGAACCTGTCTACACTGTGTCTGTATATGCTGGGCCTGCAAACCCTCAGCCTGTATACACTGTGCCTATATACATTGAGCCTGTATACACTGGGCCTGTATACACTGAGTCTGTATATACTGGGCCTGTATACACTGAGTCTGTATACACTGAGTCTGTATACACTGAGCCTGTATACACTGGGCCTGTATACACTGAGTCTGTATACACTGGGCCTGTATACACTGAGTCTGTATACACTGGGCCTGTATACACTGAGTCTGTATACACTGGGTCTATAAACACTGAGTCTGTATACACTGGGCTTGTATACACTGGGTCTGTATACGCTGGGCCTGCATGCCCTCAGCCTGTATACACTGTGCCTATATACATTGAGCCTGTATACACTGGGTCTATAAACACTGAGTCTGTAAACACTGGGCCTCTAAACACAGGGTCTGTGTCCCCTGGGTGTAGTAGAATATTATCTTAAGGTGTGTTACTTTTGTTTAAGTTGCATTTCTTTAGCTCTGTGAAGCTGTGTTCCTGTGCCTGTCTAAAACACCTGATGGTCCGGGTGGTGGTGGCACACGCCTTTAATCTCAGCACTTGGGAAGCAGAGGCAGGCAGATCTCTGTGAGTTCGAGGCCAGCCTAGTCTCCAGAGCACAGGCCTTGGCGTTAGGTGTTACATTAACAGTTTTAGAAGTAGTTGGCTTGGAGCAAGATTGAAAGAAATCACCATGTGAGGAGCTGTCTCTGTGTTCAGACACATGCCATCAGTCCTAAGCCTCGCTCCTGTGTCCCAGCATTGGTCACATTAGTGGTCCCTTCACCCCTCCATCTCACCCCCCTCCTCACTCCCACCCACCCCAGCAGCTTGCTGTTTCTCTAACCTAGTCATCATGCCTGACAAAGAGCAGGGAATCATTTTCTAAACAAACCAATGAAGGGATGATAGGAACATGGATGGATGAAGGGATGTACAAACAGATAGGCAGATTGGTTAGTGGACGGATGGGCAGATGAGTAGATGGATGGGTAGATGGGTAGGTGGGTAGATGATGGACAGATGAGTGGATGGGTAGATAAAAGGATGGGAAAGTGCAGTTGGGAAAGTGCAGTGTGTGTGTGTGTGTGTGTGTGTGTGTGTGTGTGACATGGTGGGTGGGTAGATAGGTAGATGGATTAGTGGATGGGTAGAATGATAGTATATGAGTGGACTGGGTATGAGAAAGAGCAAATGAATTTAAAAGATACACTTAAAAAAAAGGGTCATTCTACAGAGGTCATCACCTCCAGGCCTCTCTGCAGGAAGGTCTCCTGACCCTGGTGAAGGGACTGTTATTATTTGGGCAGGGGAGAGTAGAAATAAAATATAGTAAATGTAGTATAGTGGTGTAGGAGAGGCAGCCCCAGATGCCATTAGAAGGGTCTTATGTAGAATCCTGAGCAAATAGAATCTGTAACCGATCTTTCCTCAGAGATTGGAACTCTGGGAAGCCCAGACTGGAACTCAGGCAGAGGCTTGACTGCGGGACTTGTTACACCAGAA